GTAACAATCCAACATTTAAAAACTGATTAATGTGACAGCAATTTGTTCTCCTTAGAGTAGATTTTTCCTCTGTCAGCAATCAGGCAGTGAAGTTCAGGCTCTACAATTCTGAAGATAACAGAAAATGCTATAACTGTATATTTCTAATTACATGTCTTTTTTGAAGACTTGTTTTTTCATTTTGGACATTGATATAACTTACATTTTCCATTGCAGTGTGTTAAGTTTTATATGTAGTGCTGGAGCAACGACTGCCAGCTATTAATTGTAGATATATTGTTTTTGCTATTAAAATCACTTATTTATAAGCTTGGCCTCACTGTGCCTACAACTTTATCATCTCACCTAATCTCACCTCATCCAAAATAGTTAGGTTATTCTGGGCTGTTTTCTATATTTATGCTGCTTTATTTTTAGTCTGCTGGAAGACAAAGGGGCCTCTTTTCCTCATTCTGCTTCGTCCTATCTCCATTCTCCCATTCTGCAGTATTTGTTAGTTCCACCCATAACTATATGCTCTCTCTGCTTCTTCTCATAGTAGCTTCATGTGTTCTGTTCCTGTTTGGCCGTGACTCCATCCAGCAGAGAAATATCAGCTGTGCAGCTGCCATCAACGCCTTTGTTTATAAATGTCTGAGCCTGGCATATTTTTCAGTGTAGTCCTGTTTCTCTGACTGTGACTAACTGTATGTGCTCTCTTTCATCCTCTGACAAAAGAATTGGCTTGAAGCTCATCTGCCTGGCTGTGTGTTTCCTGGACGGAGACGCCTGTGCAGCTGGTTAACTTTCATATCTCTCCTTGTTTTTCTATCTCTGATTCTGTCTCCTTGAACCCCAGTCGGCCTCGGCAGATGCCCACTCACACTGAACCTGGTTCTGTTGGAGGTTTCTTCCTGTTAAAAAGGAGTTTTTCCTCTGTTGCTGCATGCATGCTTGGTGTGGGGGATGCTGAAAAGGTCAGTAGCAAAATGCAAGCAAAAATCATCACAGCAAGCTCATCCCAGAGGAGCATGTCTCGTAAGTCAATGACTGGATGCAATCAACTGGTTTTCCTTGACAGAAACTAACCAATCTGACTGCATTGTGCCTGACATGTTGTGGTTTGCCGCTAATGAATAACTAAATTAAAATGAATCATAAACTTAATTTTTTTTACTGAAAGTTGTACATTTTTCTTAATCTAAAGGAGGCTTTTTTTAATTTCAGGACAGCATTAAGAGTACTTTTTATTTGTCTAACTCTTTGGAGTTAGACAAATAAAAGGTCTGATTGTTGTCTGTGTAACTGGGTGACAGACGTTAAATGCATTCCCTGAAAGCTAAATCTAAACATATATTTTAGATAGTGAATTAGTGAAAAAATAATTTAGATTTAAACAGAGCAATTATTGTTTTAAGAGCACCCTGTTTCAAGTAAAAGTGACTAGAGAAACAATATAAAACCAAGGAAATGCAAACATTTTACCATGTTAAAAACCTTCATAATTACTCACAGACCCTGCCTGTAATGTGATTTGGTTCAGCTTCCTGCAGCCTTTTCCAAAAGTGATATTACCAGTTGACAAACATCATGTGAGGAGTGGTTTACCTGACGCAGGTAAGAATTCACACCTTTTTTTCTGAGTGGAGGAGAGGATCCCGCCCAAAAGGTACAAGTTGGTTTATAAAAAGATGACAGGCCACTGCAAGGCACAGACGGGGCACCAGCTGAGGACTGACAGGAACAACAGCAGGAGAAGGAAAGCACCATTACCAACATCATGGGGAGCTGTTGCGAGAGAATGGGTCCGCAGAAGAACACCTATGTGCGTGTCAGTCTGCCAGCAGTCTGCTTTGTGTGGCAGATTGCTATGATCATTCTGTTTGGGGTTTTCATCCGGTACGACGAGGAATCAAGTGCAACCTGGCCAGAATACAGAGACAAAAAGAATCTCACTGACATTGAAAATGACTTCTACTTCAGATATCCCAGTAAGTGTGATGGAGCTCAACAAAAGTTGCCAATGATTTTGAATACAGGGTTGATATATGTTTGTGGAATACGGGGACAATCCTATTGGAAATTTGTGTTTTTTTGTGTTTTTTTTTCTTCTTTAACTGTGTTTTTCTTTTAAGGGGCATTTAGATGATTTCCAAATATGCAAAGAGGACACTTGCTCTTATGCTCTCATTTAATCTCCATCGCTGCTATAGGTGTCAGAGAGCATAAAGAAAAGAAAAATGTGAAATTATGTAAGATTGCTATGACACCTTGAAGATAAAAAAAAGAAAAAATGTAGTATTTTTCTTTTCAGTTTTGCATTGACTCAACAAAAAGTGTTCTTCAATTATGAATGTTGTTATCTAGCACTCAGTCTTATGAATATTACTGAGGGGAGTCAACACATTTTTATGAAATGAAACAAATGTCTTTAATCCAAAATACTTGAACAGCATCCATGCCTTTAGGCATTTCATTACATAACAAATTTGATTTTTGTTTCCGTGCCTGCAGGCTTCCAGGACGTCCATGTCATGATCTTTGTTGGTTTTGGTTTCCTCATGACCTTTCTGAAACGTTACTGCTACGGTGGCGCAGGCTTCACTTTCCTGATCGCCTCGTTTGGCCTGCAGTGGGCTCTTCTCATGCAGGGCTGGTTTCACTCCCTCGATCTTACCACTGGGAAAATCTCCATAGGAGTTGAGAGGTAAGCACTTCACTTACGTAAGGTGTATTAAGTAATTAATGAAGTGAAACCAGCTCCTCTAATGAGGTACTTTACTCTTTGAAAGACATATTTCCAGTTCAACTTGAACTCTGATTGCTCCAAACAGCCTCATCAATGCAGACTTTTGCTGCGCTGGCTCTCTAATCGCCTTTGGTGCCCTGCTGGGTAAAGTGAGCCCTGTCCAGCTCATGGTGGTCACCTTATTCGGCGTCACCCTGTTTGCTGTGGAGGAATACATCATCCTTGACCTCCTTCATGTGAGTCTGATCAACTGACCTGAATATATATTTTTTACAATATAGTTCTTTTTCGCATTTACTGACATCTTGCTGACTCCACAGTGCAGAGATGCTGGTGGATCCATGGTCATTCATTGCTTCGGAGGGTATTATGGACTGGCAATCTCTTGGGTGCTCTACCGACCAAACTTACACCAAAGTAAACGCCTCCATGGGTCCAGCTACCACTCAGATCTGTTTGCAATGATTGGTAAGTTTTTCTTTTTTTTACCTTAAGGTGTAAAACCTTTCTCTGGCAGGTTTTATGATTAATCTTCATTTTAAATAAAATGATTTTTCTAGGTACACTCTTCCTGTGGATGTTCTGGCCCAGTTTCAACTCGGCTATCACAGACCATGGTGACGGCCAGCACAGAGCAGCCATAAACACCTACATCGCTCTCGCCTCCTCCGTTCTCACTTCTTTTGCCATCTCCAGCATGGCTCAGAAAAAAGGAAAACTGGACATGGTACATTGGCAAATCCAGCATGTCTTAAGATCTCAAATTTCAGAAATATTTTTAAATTTTTCTTGTGAATAACACATTCCACTGGCCTTACTCAACAGGTGCATGTCCAGAATGCCACTCTGGCTGGTGCTGTAGCCATGGGAACGGCAGCAGAGTTCATGATCACCCCTTACGGCTCGCTCATTGTGGGCTTCTGCATGGGTATCATCTCCGTATTTGGCTACCTGTTTATCACAGTAAGCCTGCATTCTTTTTTCTTGGTATTTTTGCTTTCTGTAGATGGAGAGCTACAAAAGAGAAAGGAATTTGTTTTAAACAGGAAGTTAGCAACATTTTAGGAGGCAGGAAAGTACCAGGCGATGAGAGATTATTTTTGGCACATTCATAGACTGCTTCCTATCAAAGATAGTACGCAGAACTACTAACAGAGGCCGCCACTTTTGCCGCAGCTTCTATAATAAGGTTTGGGTGAGGGTTATTGTTTTGAAAACTTGCTGATCTGTTAAAAACCAATATCATTTCTCATTGTGGAACGTTTTTTTTATGATCTTTAATTAATATATACTGAAATTAATAATTAAAAGAAAATATCCACATTTTCCACTAGAATTTTGAACATTTGCTTTTCTAAATTCCCGCTCAAAGCAGGTGTAATGCCTATAATAACAACAATGATGTTGTTTAATTTTTTTTGACAGCTATATCCAACTTTTTTAATTAGTTAGTTAGTTTAATTAGTTCAGCAGCTTTCATCAGTTTTTCAGCATTTCTTTTCATTTCTAAGAGAGGCTTATAAAAAAAAATTGTATGAAATAGAATACAAATTGACTTTGATTCTTGTTTCAGCCGTTTTTTGAGAAGTATCTCAAACTCCAAGACACATGCGGAATTCACAATCTGCACGCTCTCCCAGGGATGCTTGGTGGTTTCATAGGCGCTGTTGTTGCTGCAGCAGCTACTGAGGAAGTCTACAGTGAACAAGGGTAAGCCGAACAAAGGCCTTCATGATTTAAGCCTCATACAACTGTGAACCAGTATTTTTTGCTGTAAAAGTTTTCTCACATAAAAGGGGCTCTCTAAGCCCTCCTAAGCATCATTTTCATTTTGAGCGTAGCAATAATTTCACTCTTTACAAGCATTCAAAGAAATGGTAGTTAGTCTGGGAACAGACTGTGTCCCTTTTTGACCAGTTTATATACTGAAATGTTCAAAAATTGATAAAGAGAAGTCATAAGGCCAAAAAAGTATGAAAATCCAGAAGAAATAGAAACAGTTAAACAACACTTTCATTTATTGTTAAATGGAAATGCTAAGTTCACTGTCATTAGTGAGCGTATGGTTGTGTTTGTCGTGTTTCTGTAAAGTCCACAATACCAAGAGTGGTACTCAAGTCTCATTGCCCAATGTAAAGATACCTCATCCAGATGCTTGTGCACAGCTGGGTGTCATAATTTGTCATCCATTACACCATTGGAGGGTGCTCTATGGCCTTAATTTGTGCTTATTGAAATAAGAACCAGAGAACTGAGGAGCTTTCAAGTTTTTTCTTTTTATTTGTAGTTGAGACTAGAGTGTCCAGGCTTTGTTTCTGCACCAGCTGAATCTCCCTACTGATTTATTAAAAAAGTTCAGGCTCTTTGTTTCTGAATTTAGTAGTCAGATTAATAGCTTAACAGCTACTTTACATGTGCATTAACACGGCAGGGTCATGCATGAAAACCTGACATATAGTCCTCTGTTTCCTCTCAGGCTGATAAATGTATTTGATAAGACTGGCGTGTATGCAGACAGAGACCAGGGAACCCAGGGAGGCTTCCAAGCTGCAGGAACATGTGTGTCAATTGCCTTTGGACTTGTTGGAGGAGCCCTTGTTGGTGAGTTAAAAAAAAGAAAACTTGGCACGGGTTGCTTTATTCCTAATTTTAGGGGATATCTTGAATTTTCTGCACTGCATTTCCAACCAACCCTAAATAGACTATACTAAAATGTCTTTGAGTAGAACACCAAATCTGACTCAGAATTTCTGCCAAAAGTGTAAACATATAATCCAATGTAAAGTATTTATATAACTCTTTTACAGGGTTAATCCTGAAGTTCCCTATCTGGGGTGATCCTGCTGATGACAACTGCTTCGATGATGAGGCCTACTGGGAGGTGAGATCATCTTTTCCATCACTAGATGGTGCTCTTTCTCTTTTAACTGATGTCTCTAAACAATATTAACATTTTGCAGCTTCCTGAAGAAGATGAGGAGACCATTCCTCCTGTTTTGGAGTACAACAACCACATGATTCAAAAAGGCCAGGACATGTAAGCTCTTCACACATTTACATGATTTCTTTCTTCTGTTCTGAACTCCTAACTAACCGTAACTATCTGATTTTCTCTGGCAGAACCGAGTCCAGCTTCTCTGTGGAGCAGAGTTAGAGACAATCATTCAGCCACCAGAGCCCATATTTAGTTTTGAATGTAATGCAGCTGTTCAGCAACAACAATTAATGAAGGTTTTTCTCTTTGTTATCCCTTCTTATTTTGACACCTTCCAGACTTGATAATGAGCATGAAGACCAGAAACAATCGAAACAAAAACATGAAATAACCCTTTTTGGACCTAAAATTATTTTGATCACATTTAATTACCTTTAATAAAATAAAAAAAAGCAACCAATTTGTGTTGTGACCACAGCTCTTAATTCAGCCTGTATTATGTGAAGTAGGATGTATATTTTGTTCTATAAGCTGATTTTTGTCAATAATTTTTTTATGTATTTCCTGTCGAGTGTAATTGCTGCTCTGTATCCTCTAATGGCGAATTGACTTGTTGATTTAATTTAATGAAAACTTATTTTAGCTGAAAAAAACCTATAGAGACATGTTATTCTATGTAATGCAGCTAAACAGAAGCTGATCATGCAATATCATATGTCAAGTTGAATAATTTATCCATGTGCAAGGTTGTCCACATTTACCTCTCACTATTTGTGTGCAACATAACTGATAAAAACCTCCTGCAGTTTGAATGCTGAACGGTTGAACTTCAGTAGCCACTGAAAGTGTATCACCAGAAAAACTCACATTTCCTAACATCTGTAACTAAGGTGTTCTGCTTTAAAAGTTGGCTCTCAAGAACAAAATTGTCCCAAGATGATATTTATTAAAGAAAACATCACAATATTGTGCTTCTGTTTAACTATCAAAATATCAGAAGTTTAACCTGGTTTGTTAAAGTTAATGATACTGCAGTGGTGGAAGTCTTATTTATCTAAAATGTAAAATAAAACGTTTACTTGATTGTGTCCTAAAGGAATGAAACCTCATAACTAATACACCTCCATGGCATGTTAAATAATACAAACATATTTTCATGCCCTTCACAGATACATTCTCAGATGTGTTTTCTGCTCTTGACAAATTGTTGTTCAAGATTTAAAAAAAAAATGTATTTACCAAAAATAAAAAATTGATATAAAGCTTTTTTTCCCTCTTGGCTTATTTTGTTTAGAGAATGGGCATACTTTATGATGACTTTTAAATATGCTTTCTAATTACAAGATGCATCAATGAAAAAGTAGGAAAAAATGAAAGATTTGTAGCAAATTTAAACCTTTAGTTTATTAAGGTTTGAAATTATCACTAATTTCTTCTGTTCAAAGAGCCATTGCCTCTTGTGAGATCTTAAATGTATAGTGCAGGATGTTCCTTTTCCAGGTGGATCATCTAAATAAGTGGTCCTCCTAATTGTCAATCATTCTGGTGATATGTTTACTTGAGGCCGTCCTACGTGCTCGTACACATTTTCACTTACCGGCGGTGAATCTGACATAGTGGAAAAATTGCAAATCTTGTTTTTGAAAGTAAACTTGTATGAGCGATGCAAATGCTCGTCATTTTTTTTTATATATTGGTGTGGGTTTCTTAAGTTAAAGGGGACTGATGATTCTTGATTCTCTGCAATGATATACGCTTTTCTAAATATGTGGCTACAATTCTAGCTTTAAACCACATGGTGGCACTGCGTTATTAAATACAGGTTTCATGCCTGCTCTTGAGCATTTTAGGGATAGATTTAACACCAGTTTTTTTTCAGAGCGTTTTACCATTAAATGAGATTCCCATTACTCATACACATGACAAATATAAAATTTTTATATCGTCAAAATGTCCCTGGCTGGAAAAGATAAAAGGATAAGAGTTTAAGATGAATGTGTCAGTAATAATCAATGGGGGGAAAAAAACAGTACTGCAATGTGTAAATCTCTAAAAGTCTATTATTGTGAATATTATAACAAGCTTATTTAAATTTTTTTTAAAGATATTTTTGTTGCATATATTTTTTTTAATTAATTCAACTCAAAGCACTACACAACACAGATAGCAATCTCCCCCCCCAAAATCCTCAGATTAAAATTAAATCAGTCTGCTTCATATTAAAAAACAAACAAACCTGAGGACCAAATGATCGGGGCTTTTGGTTGAGACTCTCAGTTGATTTAAACACTATTTTCAGAGGAATTTCTAATCATGGAAGAATCTCCTGTTTCAATTATGCCACTTAAAACTCATTTATTTGCAGATTTCTTTCAGGCTTATGTTCTCCTTAGAAATCCTAATGCTTCAAAGTGATACTTATAGACAAACAAACAACCTAATCATCACATATTGTTCCAAAAAAAAAACAAAAAAATGGTTAGATGTCAAACTGTTACTGTGAAAAAAAATTGTTAAGATTAGATAATTTCATTGATAATTTTTTGTTTGTGTGTATTTTTCTTCTTTTCTTGCTAGTAACTTTAATGATTTTTTTTTTTACACTTTTAGGTAGCAATGCTACCCAATTGTTATCTTTACTATTCATTTGTAGTAATGAAGTGGCTATAAACTTATGAAATCGCAAGGTTTGTAAGGAATATTTTTCAAAAGGGCAAGAGCTCAAAATGACAAGAAAAAAAAATTTACATTCAGATCCCTGCAAATTTTTTAAAGAGGCACTATGTATGTTTTTACTGAAAAATATCTTTAAATCACCTTTTTATTTGACCCTTTACCACTTGAACATTGCTTGATGAGCAGACTAACACCTCAGCAGCTCACCACCGATATACCTATAAGCCTATAGCCTATTTATCCGAATTTTTTTAATCTGGGTCAGAAGTTTCCGTGCTGTTCAGCGGATGTGACATCAAGCATGTCGATGTTAAATGGGGTTAAATGGCCTAGCAAAAAACAGAAACATTATATTTAAGATGAATTTAATAGATACTCAGAATCAACCGTCATCCTGCTAAACTCAGACACCAATTGCAACTTCATGTGAGGTGAAAAATGTAAAAAAAAAAATTCTGTGTTTTTGCCACACGTGGGAGTATAATTTCCTACAGAGATTATTATTATCATCATTATTATTAATAATAATTACAACAATGTTGCATTTTACTTACAGTAACAATAAAATGGTACACCTCATCAAAAAAAAAAAAAAAGTTTACATATGGATGCTTAATCTTATATCTGTAGAAGGTAAACTTATCTATTTACAGGTAAGCATTAAATACACCTTTTCATTTTTTTGGTTGGCTCTCACATATAATGATCCCCAATAACCAATAGTGTTTTATTATCACCTGTGAGGAGTTCAGGCAGTTTTGCATCGAAGATTTTCTTCCCAGTTCTTTGCCCAGAGGCCATCACTGGTTTTGACATCACTTTAAATAACCTTTCAAGGTATTACTATAAAACAGAACTGAATGTTTAACAGAAAATTTATCTTAACCAGACAGAGATGATTATTCAGAGTCAGTGGCACCACCAGGGGGTGGCCAGGGCATTGCACAGAGTGGCTGTGGCCCCATTCACCATCTCACCTGCCCGTGTAAATTTTTGTAGCATCACTTCAGCATTTCATCACAATAAACCAAGATATGAGTAGGTGTTAACTTAAGTTTTTATGATTTCTACACTCAGATTTACCACAATAGTAGATTCAAACCCTGAAATTATGGCTTTTACTTTCAGTGTGCCACCCCAAGATTTTTAGTGGCCCCACCTGGCCACCCTTATGAAACATTTCTGAAGGTGCCAAAGCACTGGGTTTTTCTTTCCATCATGGGGGAAAATTTATGGGGAATGAGTAACGTGTGAAAAAGCTTCTTATAGATTAGCAGGGACACACCCTGTGAGAACAGCATGTACAAAAACATATTGCTTGTAGAGGACAGTCATCACTGGAGGTTATCTGTAAGATTGTGAAAACAAAATTTGACTCCAAAGTAGGGCTGGAGTTAACAATTATTTTCATTACCGATTCATCTGTTGATAATTTTTTTTTCATTTAATCCTTAAACCTTAGTCATCAGATAGCAATCAGATTCTTAAAGAAGAATGTTTTCTGAATCAAACTAAATGGAACTATAATTTTTCCACTTGTACAATTCTGAATAGAGCAAAGTGACAGATTAAAAAGTTTTATTTATCTTAAATGCAAAATATTTTTATGAATATTTTTACAATTATGGTTTAATCACTGCTCTACGTGGGTGTCTCTGTCAGCTACAGGCATGTTTTTTAACTTCCGATACTTCAGTTAACAATTAATCGTTCACATTATTTGACAATTATTTCAGTAATTGATTAATCTCGATATATCCGATTAATTGTTTCAGCCCTATTTCAATGTTTATCCACATGTACACACTGTAACTGACAGCTTGTCTAAGTCTGTGATGTGTACAGTTTTCAATGAATTATTTGCTAATGTCCCAAATAACTGTCTTCAACAGCTGAGCACCATGCAGATTCATATAATATATAACAAGGCTAATGGTCTATTCATTTTACTGCAAGAAAGAGAACAGTTGATAGACCTATAACGGGTCGGTGGCACAGAAAGCTGCCAATGTGGTTTTTGGGCCCGAGATAGTAGGGGGACATGACAGACCTTTCAATTGTCTCATAAACACTTAGATCACAATCAGAGGGGCTTAAAAGTAGATATATTAAGGTAAACATTTTACATAGTTCTGCTTTAAACAGCATCAAAAAGAGGTATGTTTTCTAATTTAAAAAAGTGATAGTGTTAAGCCCTTTGATTGAGTTCAGTGAGATAAAGAATTTCTAGCAACACACCTGTCTCTGTGGGATTCTTGCATGTTCAGTCGACTTCATGTCACCCCACAGCATTTTGATTAAATCAATAGCTGGCCATTGAGTTTCTGAATTCTGGTCCCTAAATTTACTTTGTGGTCATTGTTTTGTTGCAAGGATCTGTTCTGCTTTGTCTTTGTGCCACATTCTCTTTAAATACCCTTTGATATAGGGTGGAATGCACAGTAGAGCATGTCAGCTTCTTGTCGATCTGCATGCTTCACTGGGTTTTTGTGTTCATTATGAGATTCTTTACCTGCAAAGCTGCAGACTGTTTATATCAAACATTTTGTTCTGTTTTTAGTGTATTTTTTCAATCATAAGCCCCTTTTACACTACCCTCTGAAAACCGATCCGTGCCGAGCTTGGATCAGTTAACCGTGCCAAGCTTGATTCTTTATGTCCATTTACACATCACACTGGCACGGTTCCTCGCCTTCTAGTGACGCTCTGCGGTACTACTGCCCTCTAGAGGTAAACAAGCAAATTAACATGGCGGCGGCCGTAACATTCGCAAAGAAGAAAGCCTTCCGTCAATTCATTGACAGTCAGCTTTTAGGAAGTGGATATGACAAACGATTAGGAAACAACAACAGGAGTTGAGGTTCATCACACTGCTAAGCAGAATCATCACTGGAAATCGTGTGGCACGTTAGAGAAGCCTGTATTTTGATGAATTTCTGAAATTTCATGATTACAGAGGCTGACTGTAAGGATAGGACGCGGTCTGCTCATGGGTTCTTTGTTATGTGAGAACCGAACCAAACTGAACAACGCCAAGCCCTACTGATGAACTAGTACCATGTTAGTGCGGTTTGGTTGTGTCTGGCCCGCTTTGGTTCAGTTTTGCGTGCCATTTAGACTCAATAGTTATCTCACTTACCGTGATCAGACCGATCTCACCACGGTTTCAAAAGGGGCTTAAAGCCCCAGTTAAACTACCCTCATCTGTTGAAAGAACAGCATTCCAGAAGTCTTTGTCTTCGCCCATGGTTTCTCTAGTGAGCCTCAGTCTAGCCGTCAATTTTTTTGGGAGCAAAAGCTTCTTTCTTTTACCTATATAATGTATACAAGTTCAGCAATCTCTTTTTTAATTTTAGAGGAATTCTCGTCATCATAAAAAAGATTCTTGTTTACATTCTGTGATGAACGATTGTATGATTTCCGGCACTATTTTAGCCTGTCCTCAGGAAAAGAAACATACAATATTGTCACTTGCAAACTAAACCTAAAAAGATTTACACAACACATAGCTTGTCCAACATGCTGAATCTAATTTACTAATGCTGGAAGTATGTGGACCTGATGTGTTATAACTGCGTATTACTGT